GGCAAGGCGCACTACCTCCGAGGCCGACGGCAGGAGGCGGCGGCGGCGCACGCTGCGGCGCTCGCCCTGGACCCGTCCTTTGCCTATGCGCACAACGACCTCGGCAACGTCCTCTCCGACATGCCGGGCCGCGAGGCCGAGGCGCCGCCACCGCCGAGGCCGACGCTGCGAGCCTAGCGCCGTGCCTCTCCGCCGCCGCCCCCGCCCCCAGGCGCACCACCACTGTGCCGAGGCCGCTTGTTCACAGCTGCAGGCGTGAAGAGACGCCTTTCACGCCCCAGGCGCACCACCCACTATGCCGAGGCCGTCCGGCTCGCGCCGCAGCTCGCCGAGGATCGCTTGCGACCTCCGGCGATCTCTCTTCCCTCGCCCAAGCTCGAGCGGCATCACGCAGGAGCGAGCTCTGCAGTCCCGCGAGCTTCTCTCGGGCAGGGGCTAGGGAGGTAGGGAAGGAGCCCACCAGCCACCTCCTCCTACTCCTTCCCTCCGTGCGCCCAACGATACGGCTTTACGGGCAAATCCGCGCAAAAGGGTATTGTCTATTGATGGATTTCAAACTCTATACACATATTACATATTCCCTCCACTGCCATACAATCGCGTAGCGTGCGAGGCGTGTGCCTTTAACGTTAGGCGCACACACAGCTCGCCAAGATACAGTCCCAAGTGCCAAGAGAAACACCGCCGCTGCCACGGTGGGTCGCCAGTGGGTGTTTTTGCCACTGAGTTCTGGCGCCGTGGACTTACGCCTGTGAAGGGCTAGAGTCGTGGATTAGAGAGAGTCCATTCGTTTTCCATCGCGCCGCCATGTGGAGCTCGTATTGCGCTGCATTACCGCTTCGGCTTTACCTTGTCCAGTAGTCCGGGAATCCTCGCTGCCACGGTGGGTCGCCAGTGGGTGTTTTTGCCACTGAGTTCTGGCGCCGTCGACTTATGCCTGTGACGTGCTCTCGTATCAACTTACATTTTCCAGTAGCCTGGGCCGCGCACTCGTTTTCCCTGCGCGTATGCCGGACTTTCACCGATTGCCGTTCGCTACTTGCTTTGGCACCAGGGTCGTTCGCTATCGTCTTATCATTTCGTTGGTGGCATGCTTAATTGTTTCCTGGCAAGTCGAAGGTGACATTCAGCTTTATGTGGCCTTTTCCCTCGTCCCCTTCGACAAACAATTCGAACACTCCCGTCTTCCCGGGGACTGAGAACGTGGTCCTGCCCATAAAATCGTCGTCGTTGTTGCCCGGATCGTAGTCCCACAACTCGACCGTGATCGTCGTTCCGATCGGCTGTACACCGAAGTTCATGTCCTTGTTCCAAACGGGCTTATCTGTATCATCTTTGTAGTCCGTCTGGTCGCACTTGAAACCATAGCCGCAGTTTAGCAAACCATAATCCTTGGTAGACACCTTTACATAGGGATCCGTCTCCAAGCAGTCGCGATCCCGCTTCCCCTCGCAATTGTTGCCTTTGCCGCGCACGTCCCTGCCCGACACAACCCTTATCATCAGGAAGCCATGCGTCTGGTCACCACACGGCACCGTGCCGTAACATTTGTTTGAATGTCCACAGCAGCACGGCGCCTCCTCAAGCCACGGGTTGTCGTAAGTAAATTTGTCGTCCTTTCTGTTCCAATCCATTGAATTGCCGACCTGCAGCATACCGTTGTTGTCAGATTTGTCGTCTTGCCAGGGCAACTTTCTGAGCTGCAAGCCGTTCACGGCCATCGGCTCCGCGCTCATGACCGCGTTCGTGTAGGAGTCTTGGTCATCATATTTGCAATCCCCGCAATTGAAGTACGACCCGTCCACATTGCTACTGTAGGTCGCCCGAAGGAAGTCCGCCACAGCACCACCGGCGCCCCTTGCATCTTCAGGGTGGTGAAATTCCTCAAGGTAACCATGCTTCCAAGCGTGCTCAATCCAGGTATCATCGAGCCGATTGTCTGTAGAATCCCCGGAACAGAGGTACCCAAAGGTCGCGGTGTACCTGTAATTCATTTCGATTCCGTCCCTCGTATCGTAGAACATCGCATGCCACTGTTCGAACATTATGTGATGCGGATCGTGCTTCGGGGACTGTTCGCCGTTGTAATCATAGCACCCTTCTTGCCTAGCACGCTGGCTAGTTGTGCAATCGCACGACCTCTCGCAGCGGTAATAGCATTCCACTCTCGTCGTGCACAGTTTGTACTTTGCCGGCATCAGCGCCTTCAGTGCATTCTGCCAGTACACATCCTTTGCACACCAGTATTTGTAAACGCCAGTATACGTCGTGCAAGTGGCCTCGTCGTCCCATCCAGCACTGACCGTGTCAGACCATAATGGTTGGGTCATCCCCTTTGCTAGCATTCCGAATGTCGCAAGTGAGCCCCAGTCCCGGCTCGCGACATTCTCGAGCTGCGTTAACGCCATTGTCCCAACAACGTTGCTTCCAACCATATCTTTGTACTCATCGTACGCCATAGTGAGTTTGCTGTTCGTCGACGGAAAGGCAACGATCTCCGGATCCGGATCCGTCTCTTGGCCGAGGAAGAGGCCGACAGTTGACGTCATGAGCGATATCACGTCGCCGCCTGGGACTTTGCTGAGCCCAAAGGATGCCGCACTTGACACCATCTCCGTTACGTAGCTGGTCTGGCTGTCGGTGCCGGCCAGTGTCACCTGATAGTTTTCGACCTTCAACAGTTCATCAACGGATTCAGTTTGCGAAAGCGCGGCATCCTTGTGACTTTCCGCCACATTGTCGATCGTCTCGGCCCAGTCATTGGCGGTTGTCAAGATGTCAAGCTCCGCGTTAAGCTGCGCCTTGACGTTGTCCACGCACGTCTCGTTGCAGGCATCCGCAACGGCGTAATTCTTGGACGGCTCACCCTTTAGTGTCGACTGCCAGCTTCTCGCGCTCCTAAGATTATTATACTTCTCACGGATGTCGTCGGTCTGCGCAACAAACAAAGAGAGTTGCTTGAAAACATTGTCCGCCCCGGCGGGCCACCCCTCGTCGGTGGTGAAACCGATCCAGGGTACCTTGGCAGCGTTGCCAGCGTCCACGATCCAAGTCGTCGGGTCCTGGAAGCATCGCCCGTTCTCGAGCGGTTTCGGCAGCACGCAGGCGTGATTGGTGGAGGCCCGATAGCCTTCGGGAATCTCGCCAAAGTCGTATGCGCAATTTTCACCCTTACCCTTGTCTGACTGGGAGAAGCAGCACTTTTCCTTCCGTACGGACCCCGCGTCGACGAGGGTGTTGCACGACAATCCGTCGTTGCATATGTCCGGCGGATGCTTGGTCCAGTAGTTGGGTCCTGTACACTGGTTGTTATATGCACCATCAACGTCGCGATGGTCGGCCACGCACTCCTCGTTGACCTGGTACGTCCCGCTGGGGCAGGAGGCGACGCAAGTATGCTCTGTCCTTTTCAAAAGCCCTCCCTTGACGAGAGGGAGCGAGTCCTTGCACTTGTCTCCGCACGCCCATTCCGCGTCGCCGAGCCAGCACGATCCGCCGCACGACGTAGCGCACGGAAGGCATTTGATGTTGAGCTCGTCGCGGCCCGTGCCCTCTGGGCAGTCCTTCACGCAGGCTCCCTCGAGGCTCTCCGGCCCGTGCCAGACGAGCCCTTTTGGGCAGGGCGCAAAGCATGCATTCGCGTCGACCCATTCGTGCCCCTCCTGCAAGCAGATGGTGCGCCCGCTCGGACAGCTGATCACCCCTTTCTCTGCCGGGGAGACGAATCTTGTGCAGGCGACAAACTTGTTAGCCAGACACTCATTGAGACGCTCCTCGATGGTCTGCCCATACAACGTGGAGTCGGGGTCGGGGAGGGTGCGCTCCTCAATAGCGCTGCTGGCGTCGCTGCAGCTGCCCTTTTTGATGAAGGTGGCAACTTTTGCGACGCCTGAAGGAGCCGCGCCAAGCTCGGGCCGGGTCGGTCGAGACGCCGCAACGGTCGGCCGTGCCGACGCGCCCAACGACACTGGCGCGAAGGTTGGGTGGCGATCGGGCGAGGCGAAGAGTAGCCCCGAGTTGGGCTCGGCCATCGGGGTGACATCCTCCGGCGTGATGTTGGAGAAGTCGACGAACTGCGCGTGGTAAGCGGGGGTGTGAAGCTACCATGTGAACCTACCGCAGTGTCTCAGCCTCAGTGTCTCAGTGATTTGGCCATGTGGCGCTCACCGGGATCGCGGTCGCGTTGGGCAGGAACACCGACTCGAGGTGCTCGGAGACGCCGCCCGAGCCGTGCGAGGAGAGCGGAAAGGCCGAGCAGCCGAGACCGATCACCACGGTGACGATGACGCACAGCAGCTTGGACGAGCAGAACTTGCCCTTTGGCGAGCCGAACATGCCAAAGCCGAAGCCGGAGCGCGAGCCGAAGCCGGAGCGCGTCGAGGTCGGCTCGGTCTTCTCCCCGGCGCCGCCCTGACAGTGCGGACGAGGGTTTGTCACGAGCAGGCAGGGTGCGCTTAACGGGCAAGGCGGTACGCGCCGAGGGCGTCGTCGACGACGGCGGGGCGTCGTTGACAGACGCCTTGCCGGAGCCGACGCCAGCGAGGTCTTCCTTGTCGACAGACGCCTTCGCGGAGCCGACGCCAGCGAGGTCTTCCTCGTCGACGTCCGTTCCGAGCAGCGCCGCAAACCCATTGGGGTCGACGCGGCCGATCGGGGTGAGGTTCTTGGTGGTCTTCTTGGAGCGGTCGACCAGGTTGGACTCGCCCTTGCGCTCGATCTTGCGGAGCGGGGAGGGGGTCTTCCACTCGTCGATGCCCTGCGGGTGTGACGTGCGGCAGAGGCGAGAGGTCACAGGATCAATATAAGTGTGCCCACCTGTGGGACTCCCTCGTCCCCGCAATACCCGCGTGTGCACAGAAGGGTGCTGGGAGGCGCTCACCGCCGGGGCGGGCTCCTCCACGGGAAACTCCTTGGTCGAGACGTTCCAGTCGGCGTCGCCCTACGCATCGAACGCGGGACGGGGTCAGGTAGTGGGTTGGCAGACGCCGGCGCGCAGAATGTCAGGCGCTCGCCGCCGCGGCAGGCTCCTCCTCCGGAAACTCCTTGATCGACGGCAGCGGCGCGCCGCCGGCGGTGACCTCGAGAGCCGGCGAGTCTTCGGTGACCGGCTCGAGCGCCGGGCCGTTCTTGGTGACGCCGGTGCGGGCGGGCGGTGGGTCGGTCGGGCGCTCAAACTTGGACCAGAAAACGGCGTCCGCGCTCGGCTTGTGGGCGGCAAACATGGCCTTGGCCCGGTCCGAGTCGACCGTCTCCGCCTCTTCCGCGGCCAGGTCTTGCTTGAGGATGCTCTCGTCGAGGGGCGCCTCCTCCGCGCCGGACTCGGCCACGGTGACGTCCTCAACGGGTGCGTTCTTGGCGCAGCTCGCCTGTCGGCGAGGGAGAATGGGGAGCGTGTTGGGAGGAGAGTGGAGATCTGCCACACGCGCACACGCACCGCCTTTGCTCCGAGGAGCGGAGGCGACGCCGGCGCGGAGAAGAAGACGACCTTGATGCTGCCGTCTTCGGCCGGCATGATGCGGGCCTTCACTTCCGTCTTGTTCTCTGACATGTTGTTGATCGAGTTCACTCGTACCTGTGATAGGGGGCGGTGGATGGCGGGTGTGTGATATTCACGGGCGGGGAAGGGGGACGGGGGGAGGGGCGCTCCAAATTTAGGTCAAATTTCGTCAATTAAAATTAATTGACGAAACTTGATGATAATCTCGGGCAATCTCGGGTGGCGCATCGGAACGAGCGATAGAGCGCCTCCACAAAGAGGTGCGGTAGTGTCATACCGGTCTCGGAAGCGATCTCGGCAATCTGGCAATTAATTATGCTAATTGACGAAATCTCGGGGTGGTCTCATCAATTTAGTCAACTCGCAATGATGCCCCAGAGCATTTCCACAAATTTCGTCAAAGTTTCGTCAATTATGTAAATTGACGAAATCTCGGCTAAATCTCGTCCAATCTCGGCTAATCTCCTGCTCTGATTGCTGCACATCGTGTTCCGGGCCGCCAGTGCTGCTTCACTCTGCTTTGAGAGCGTCTTTGAAGGGGGGAATCGAGAGGAAGGGGGGGTCATGAGGGCCGCACCTACTCGCAGCGCACGCAGCTTGAGGCCCAGCGCCAAAATTCACCGCAGCACGCCCGCCTCGCCCACGTTGTTTTGGATCTGCGAGGGCGCAGGCGGCCGGATGAGCGTCAGCAGCACAAATGGGATGAGCATGGCGCGCGCTTGCTTCGGGCGTCGCGGGAGCGCAGTAGGCATGGAGGCGATTCGCGGCTGTGCGCTAGGTGGCCGCTCTGCCCACAATCCGGCTGCGCCAGATTCGTGGCGCTCGAGCCTCGGAACGAGCGCTCGCGCGGCGGTCGCAGCACGGCGGGCAGCCGGCACGAGCGCGCTGCAGCGCTTGGGATATTGGGCGAATCGGCTGGGCACGCTCGCGCAAATGGCCAAGACGCGCCGCATCGCGCGGGGCGAGGGGAGGCGCAGGCAAAAGCATTCCTGAGCTGGGGGTTTCGATGCCTCTCACCGACGAAACCTCTCACAGTGATTTTGGGCTCGATCAAATAGAGCGCCTTCGGCACTACTCTCTCGAGGTCTCGCGGGTGGAGGGGGGGGGGGGCTGGTTGAGCTGGCCGGATTTCCCCACGGCCTGTTACACATTGCGACCCACGGGTCCCCCGGGCACGAGTGCAGCCAGACCCCCTACCATGCCAAGGAGCCCGAACCCCAGCAGCCATCAGCAGCACCAAAGGCAACCGTCGATCGAAGAACTGAATGGCAGGACAGAGCATATGTTTTCGAGAAGAGGCGTACGAATATAAACGTTCTCGTCCGCTCCGCTTTGCAAAGGGTGCGCGACGGGTGGACGCTCGCAACAGTCCTGGAGCACCATCCTGCGTTTGGTTTCGTGTACCAAAAAACAAAACATTGCTAAAAATATCTCTCTCTCTCTCGTGTACCTCTGTGTGTGAAGAGGTTCCTCTTTTCCGCGCCCCCCCCGCAAGGCGCGCGATACACACAGGTAGGTAGGTAGAAAGGTGAAGAACAGCCAGGCTCGGACTGGACACCAACGCGGTATGGGTGGACGCTGGACAGATGATGACGACACGCACGAGCGACACACAGACACAAACAGGCTCACAAGACACACAGCCATCTGGCTGCCACACACTCTGAGTCGGCGTACACATAACTCAGGGCCACATCCTCCCTGTCGCCCCCCCCAGCACTCCAAGGTGCCAAGAGAAACAAACAAGGGCACAACTCAAACAACAGACGACAGGAAGTGACATGTGATGCTAGAGCAGCTTGCTCCACCTCTAGCAATCTCACCGGCCTGCGAGGCACGGACGAGACCGTATGTGGGGTCTAGTGAGGTGTCTATGGACGCCCTCCTCATGGTCTAGCTGCCTGCTGCTAGACTTCTCTCGCACTCACGGACAGTGACAATTAAATGGGTGAGTGTTTGCGAGCTGAGGCGCGTGTGCTAAATCTAGGCCGCACGTCGTGGCACTATGACGGAGGTAGACGTGCGGCCGCAGCGCGCCCACCACAGTCTCGGTGGTGCGCGCATGTTAGCAAGAGAGTTGCGGGGAGAGCCATGCCCGACTTTTCGGAGGCGAGCCCCACGCCACGGATGCCAGTCGTGCTTTCGCGGGAGTCGTCTCCCGAGCCGCGTCCCGTCAGCACTGTCCCCGAGTGGTCCCGCCTCGGCGGCACACACTCTCGACCAGGACAGTCCCGACACACAACACACGATTGCAGGTAATTACCTAGTAGGTTTCGTGCTAGAACCTATCCTCTTTGCAGGGCCTGTTTGGGCCAAACAAGCCCACCCTACCTACCTATCTGGGAGAGAGGGCAGACCCCCTAGGGAGGGTGGGAAGTAAATAAGTAAGCTGAAACGCGAAAACGATCGTGGCTGCAGCACGAACGGCTGCGATTCAGCGGTCGCGCCGCTGAGCGTTCAGGTCGAGCTCGAGCTGAGCAAGATCATCCAGTCGACAGCTGAATCGCAAGCGTTGAGGAACGCGAGAAGATCGCGTTTTTCGCGTGAAAGCGCCCACCCTCCCACAGGACCGGAACCCTCCAGCCACGCAGAGATTGTCGACGTAGCGGTGGTTGGTGCTGGCGCCGCTGGCCTCACCGCAGCTCGCAGCCTGTCCGCTCACGGGCTCCGTGTCGTGGTGCTCGAGGCTGGGTCCAAGGTGCGTCACTGCGCGCGCGCTAACATCCGGCGGGAGTTGCCACCTCCTGTGACCGCTTGCCTGCCACCCAAGGTGGGTGGCCGAGTGCTGGCCGACAAATCACTCGCACCGTGGCCCCTCGAGCTCGGGCCCGAATTTCTCCACGGCGAGCATCACAACGCGCTCCTGCGGCTGGTCGCCGACGGCATCGAGGGCAAGCCAGAGGCGTCGCTGGTCGAGCTCGAGTGGCCGAACTACTACTTTTTCGGAAAGGAGGCCGTCCTGATGCTAGCGGAGGAGGCGGACGAGCAGCCGGACGTCGCACTGATGCACGAGAGCTTCGAGAAGCTCGGCGAGATCTCGCCAGCCACTTTCTCGGCTCGTCCCTCGCGCACCCACCGCCGGCCGTGCCCGCTTTGGCAGGTGAGATGGCTCCTCCGCCCTGCGGAGCGGAGGCGGAGGGGGAGCCGACGCTGCTGCAGTACTTTGCCAGCTGCGGCCTCTCCTCGCGCGTGCTCGACCTGGCCGATGCCATCTTTGCCAACGATTACGGCGCGGACATGTCGGATGTGCGCCGCCGCTACGCCCTCCAGTCCCACCACCTCGATTGGAGGCAAGAGGAGAGCCTCTTCTGACTCTCACGACTGCCGCCACACTCGCCCGCCCCGCAGGTCGGGCTGCACGAGGTGATGCACGAGCAGCGCCACTGGACGTACGGCGAGAAGTACCTGGTGCTGCGGGGCGCGTGCCTGCAGGCGGAGAGGAGAGAAGAGAAGAGAGGAGAAGAGAAGAGAAGTACCTCGTGCTGCGAGGCGGCGAGGTGGTGAGCCGCTCGCGACCGCTGCGGCGCCGAGGGCCGCCTCCCTACAAAGCATTCACATGTCACCGAGCGGGCGCCTCTCTCTAGGACGCGATGGAGTCGCTCGGTCGCGGCCTGGACGTGCGAACAGCGTGGCGCGTGCAGCGCATCGACGCGTCTCCGACCGGCTGGGGCGCGGACGGTGCCGCCCCTGCACCGCCCCCTCCCGCCCCTTCCCCCGCCTCGCTCGGCGGAGCGCTCGCTGGCGGGGAGTAGGCGCCGCCGTCGAGCTCAGCGCCGCCGACGGCCGAGTGGTGCGCGCGCGCGCCTGCGTGGTCACCGTGCCGCTGTCCGTACTGCAGCGGGGGGGGCCGGAGTTTCGGCCGCCGCTGCCGCCGCCGCAGGCAGGAGCGATCCGCAAGCTCAAGATGGGGTCCGCGCTCAAGGTGATCGTGAGGCTGCGGCGCCGCTTCTGGCCGGCCGACTTTTACGACGCCGTCTGCTCCGACTCGTTCCTGCCGGAGGTGTGGCTCTCTCGCCGCCGAGCTGATGCGGCCCGACGCGGCGCCGCCCTACACCATCGTCGGCTTTGTGGCGGGCGCGCGGGCGGAGCGGGTGGGGAGGCTGCCGCACGCAGACATCGCTCGCCGGATGCTCGCCCAGTTCGATGGGATGTTTGGCAGCGGCGACGACCCCCACCCCGCGAGCAGCAGCTGCGACGGCTTCCTCGTCAAGGACTGGGCCGCCCACCCCCACGTCCACGGCGCCTACTCGCACCCGACGCGCGGCGCGCATGGCGCGCGGCCCGCGCTGGGGGAGGCGGCGCACGGCTGCATCTTCCTCGCGGGCGAGGCGTGCCACGCCGGCGTCAACCCGTGCATCCACGGCGCGATGGAGACGGGAGAGCAGGCGGTGCTGGTCTTCCCTACAGCCGCAGTCGCGGAGCCGGCTGTGAGCACGGCCGCGCGATGCGCCGTCTACGTCTGCGCCGCGCCCGCTTCGCGCGAAACCAAGCGCAGAGAGAGAATTTTTTATTTCGGCATTTTTGGCTAGTTCCATTTCACTCTGACACGCTAATCTTGAAAACGTCCAACGGAGCTCCGTGTTGCTCCCAGCGCCCTCCCCCGCGCTTCCTGCGGCCATGGCCGATGATACTAGTATGAGAGGTCATCTGGCTACCGCGAGCGCGACTCAACTCGCCGACGTCGTCCGATGATTGTGCCTCAAAGTCAGCCTCCGGAGGCTATCGTGGGGTCGAGCCGGCAGTAGCCGTGACATGTGGTTCCACCACCCCTCGTATGCTTTGCCTCTGACCGCCACCGTTCCCAGGCTGCCAAATGGGATGGAAAGGAAGGCTCGGCGAGCGTATAGAAGCGTGCTCGACCTCGTCGTGGCAACCTGCACAACAGCGCTGGCGGGCGCGATGAGCGTCGTGCCACCTGTAGGCCGGTCGCTCCCCCGTCTTTGGGCCCTGTTGAGTGGGGGGTTTTTGCTAAGGTGTAGATCAGGTTCCACAGCATCGTCCCACACGTAGCTCAGCGGTCAGGTGAAAAGGGGTTTTTGCTAACGGCCTCCCACACACGCCACCCACACCGGATATGTCTTGGGCATTTTTCGCACTTTTCTTTCTACGTCGGTCGGGGTCCCGTGGATCGATTTTCAAAGTGAATAGACAATAGTACGGCATAGAAAAACTGCAAAACAAGATGCGTTAGCTCGCCGCGAAAGCAAACAGAGGAGGGCGAGGAGGAGTGATTAGCACGCGTCCTCTGCCACCGTGCGCGTGTTATGAGGTGGTGCGAGAGAGCCATTTGCGTGCGAGCCCGTGCCCCGTCCCGCCACCCGCCCGCCCCGCCCCGGAGCGCGACAAAATGTGAAGGGTGGGCCACTTGTGTTGAGGGATGGCAACCCAGGTGGGTGTCCTCCGCCTCCAGCTCAGCCGCCGCATCGAGCTCCGCCTCATACGCGTGTGGCTGTGGGCGACGGAGCCGCCGCTGCGGCCTTCCGCCGTCGGGGCGACGGCGACGGCGGCAGCGGGCCGGGCGGCGGCGGCGACGGTGGCGGTGGTAAGGGCGGCAGCAGCGAATAAGGCGGCGGCGAGGGCGGCGGCGGCGGCGGAGGAGGCGGGCTCGGTGGGGGCGGCGACGGTGGAGGCGGCGGGGCGGCGGCGGTGAGGGTGGCGGCGGTGAGGGCTGCGGCGGTGAGGGCTGCGGCGGTGAGGGCTGCGGCGGCGAGGGCTGCGGCGGCAAGGGCGGCGGCGGCGGCGAGAGGGGGAGGCCACGACGGCGGCGGCGGGCTGCGCGGCGGCGGGCTGGGCGGCGGCGACGACGACGACGGCGGCGGCGGCGGCGGCGGCGGGCTCGGTGAGGGCAGCGACGGTGGAGGCGGCGAGGGAAGCGGCGGGCTACACGGCGGCGGCGAGGGCGGCGGCGGCAAGGACGGCGGCGGCGAGGGGGGAGGCGGTGACAGCGGCGGCGGGCTGGACGGCGGCGGCGACAGCGGCGGCGGCGACGGCGATCTGCTTCTCCTCGCGGCCTCCGTCGATGGGATCCTGTCGGCAGCCGGGCGGCGGCCGGACGGTTCGGTGAGATGAGAGGCGCTGCCGAGCGCGGAGTGGGCGCGGGGGGTCCATCGGGGATGGCTGGCGGCCGGGGGCGCAGACCCACACCGTCATGCTCGGTGTCGGTGGGTCCCACGGATTGAGCGTGTAGGTGTGTGGTCGTGAGGCTCCCACACAGCGAGTCCCGGCTCCCACGTGTGGAACCTCCGTGTGGGAGGCGTGTGGAACCTTAGCAAAAACCCTCTAGTCGTTTCGGAAGTTGAAGTTGAGAGAGAGAGAGAATTCTTGATACGAAACCACGACGACACACACCAGTCGACTCGCATCGGTTGCCTCCATGAACGGCGGAGCTATTCTCGCGCCCACACCACACCTGGCTCCAACGTGGACACGCCCATAGCTGGGGACACTACTAGGTCACGCATGGCATCACAGAAGTTTTATCTCTGGGCCCCGAAAGGCATCTCTAGCAGTGTCGTTACACATGCTCCCTCCCCTCCTGGGCGCATGTGCCTCACGTCTCGCCAGAGCATAAGCCCTTGGCGTGTGGCGAGACGAGTTTTTCGCCATGCAGCGAGCAGCAAGCCGCCCGCCGCAAACAGCCGGAGGCATCGCCACGGCACTGGCTGCGCCGCGCTCCCGCACCCGTCGACGAAGCTCCCCCCGCGGAAGACCGCGCGTAGCGACGCCTTCACGATCGAGATGAGCGCGCTCGAGGCTCGCCCACCTACTGTCTCTCTCTCTCTCTCTCTCTTGAAGTTGGCGCTGGTTGGCGCATCACAAAGAACCCAAATCCAACCCTGCCAACCGAGCAAGCCCATGGGGGACGCGAGGTCTTGCTCCACCTTCTCGGCGCTCGCGTCGCCCAACCTGAGAGCCTCATCCGCCATGCCGGGGCACATCTTGACCGGAGCCGGTCACATGTCCATCGTGCCCAAGACGGGGCACGGTCGACTCGACCGCGGCCGATGGCACCGGCCCAACGGCCGACCAAGATTTTACGCCTCCGAACGCCGGGCCGGTGAGGTGGCGGGTCGGGCGACACGGAAAATCGGTGGCTGACAACGACTTTTTGAGGCCATCGGTTTGAGGTCTGCAGACATTTTCTGGATGATCTCGCATTTCCCGAGGCGTAATCGCAGATCCAGACGGCCCAGCAGGTGGGCGCTGCAGGCGAGCCGCCTCACATCCTTCGCCCCCCCCGTCGCTCACGCTGCCTCTGAAGCACCGGACCACCCCCCCCGCGCCCAGGCGGCCTAGCTGCCGCGGGCTCCACCCACGCGGGCCACCATCAGCGCCGCCCGACGGCTCAGAACCTCTCTCTTTAGGTCCCACAAAAGGCGGCGAGCGAGCGGCGAGGCAGATGAATCGAGCTCTGGACGCATGCCGCGAGAGCTGTGAGGGTCGCAGCTCGGCCTCCATCTTGCCCGGTAGTGGCGCGTCGGCTTGCCGGCTCACGGGGGTCACTGCCCCTAGGTGCCGCCTCACCTCGCCTCTATGCACCCTTCACCCTCTAGCGCCTCACCCTGCCCGGTGCCGTGGTAGTGGCGGTGTCAGCCATGCTGGACCGGCGGCAGCGAGGCCGACGGGCGTGGCTGCGGCGACAACGGCGGCTTGGCCCGTGACGGCGACGGCGCTGACGGCAGAGCAGCTGCGGCCGGCACGGGCGGGTGCGGCCGAGCAGCGCGGCGCTCACAGCAGGCGGCCGGCGTGGCGGCGGCGACGGCGCCGCACGAGGAAGCGGTGGCGCAGCCGCGCATGACAGGTCCGGCGCGTGTCGAGCAGCGAGGTGGCGCGCCGCGCTGCCGACGCGCCCCCAGGCCGGAGGCGGCCGCCGCGTGCCGAGCCGCGGGCTGTTGGTGCTTACAGTCTGCGGCGGCGGCGCCGCCGCCGCGGAGCGAGGCAGCGGCGGCGGCGGCGGCGGCGGCGGCGGCGGCGGGGGATGCGGCGGCTGCACGTTGTGCCTCGAGGCGTCGCTCGCGGCGCTGGTGCGGCGCGTGGTTGGCTGACGAGGTTGCGCGCGCACGGCGCACGAGGGTGTAGTCACGTCCCTCGGCTCTCGCCACCGCTGTCGCCGCGCGCTCCGCGTTCGTTGTCGCCGGCGCTGCCCGCCTCGAGCCACTGCGGCCACTGCCGCGCGACGTTGCGCCGCGCCATGCTGGCCGTCGCTCTCTCGACGTTGTGGAGGAGGCTCTGTCCCACGTCGAGAAGAGGCGTTCCCGCGGTGATATTGACCCAGCTCTGTTGTCTCTAGGCTGCGTCGGCACGGGAGGCGCTGCGGGCGGGAAGGTGGAGCGGGCTGCGGAGCGGCAGATTAGTGGCAGTGGCGACGGGCGGGGCGGCAGCGAGCAGGGTGGCGAGTGAGACGTTGGAGAGGCGGGGCTGGGGAGGCTGGTGCCGGTGCCACTACAGGCGGTGCAGGTGCGGTGTGCTACTGTAGTGCTCGCTCACCGGAGCGAGCGCGGCGGTCGGACCGTCCTGGCAAGGGCCGCTGACCAGGACGGTCGCCAGGAGTCGGCTTGCACCGCGAGAGCGGCGAGGCGGGGGGAGAGGCTTGGTGAGGGTGTCCGCGGTGGTGCCGGTGTGTTAGTTAGGGGGAGAGGCGCGGGCCGGGGGAGCGGGAGGGGGTGGGGGGGTGGAAAATTTCGATACCCTAAGGTGCCCTGGTGATCCTGGGTTAGCATCGTCTCTTCTGAGCCCGCTCTTGATGGGTTGGAAGCGTTTTCATAGCGAATTCACGCCGATTTTGCCATACGGACGTCCCTGGCGCGCGCTCTTGAAGGCCTCATCCTGGGATGGTGCTCGCCAGCGTGAGTTCATACAGTGCTGCGAGCTGGCCTAAGGCCGGACCTTACGACGGTCCAGCGCTGGGCAGCGTGATGGCTCTTACTCGAGGCGCGACATGAGTGTACGAGGACCTCAACGTCTCGGTTTGGCGAACCAGCATGAGGAGCGGAGCCGCTGTAGCTCCTCCCTGCAGCTTGCGCGTCGCGGTTTGGCCGACGTCCCATCCACCGCGCATACTGCGGCGGCTCTCCAGCTCAAGAAGGCTGCGCTCGACCACCACATCGCCCGAGTCAGTGGTCCGGACGCCCCGCTGAGCCTCGCGCCGCAGTGCAGCCAGTTTGCGCGGCCGTGATGCGCGAATCGAACCGGTGCGATGTTGTTCGGCACTCTAGATGGCCTGAACATGCTTGCGTTCAAGTCTTGAGGTCTGCGCTTAAACTTGAAAATTTAATAAAATCGGGTCCGACCGGCCTACCACCTGACCCGAGACGGGTCGCAGGCGTCGTACCGAGCGCGTCGAGACCGTGTCCTGATGTGATCTGCACGGGTGAGTCACGTCGGCGTCAAAGGAGCGACGTGCGACCTGTCAGAGCTTGATCTCCGATCTCAGCGGCGTCGAGTCGTCTCCGGCGCGCGACAAAGGTACATACCCAGGACGCGCAGAGGCTGCTGCGACCCCGCTGAGTGGACGGCGTCACACCGCGCCACCTGCTGTGTGACGCCGTCTACTCGGCGGGGTCGCAGCTGCCTCTGGAAGGCACCGAGATGTACCTTTTTCGCGCAATGGTCAAAATCAAGGTTTTGTAACGCGAGCTGTGCCACAGTGAAATGGAACTAGCCTTTAAGTCAATGCGTGACATGACACATCCTTTTTACCCATCTCACAGTAGAGAGGTGTCCGTTTTTATTTATTTATTTGACATGACACATGAGCGAGGCGCTGGCTCGCGCATGTTCTGCAGCTTGGTCTGCGGCCCCCCGGTTGGGACGAGTGCGCGATGCGGACGAACCGCTCGATATGGCCGGTGTGTATGTTGTGTTGTGTGTGACACACACACTGTGTATGTTCCCTAAAAAAACTCTGACATTTTACGAACTCCTTGGCGACGTGCGCGTCGCGTCGCCAAGGCTCTGCGACCTCGGTCGTACAGTCAGCGACCACGGTCGTACAATCGGCCGGCTGCGCGGGTTTTCGGCGAGTTTCCCGCGCACCGGCCACGAACTCGACTCGCACAGCAAAACAATCCGGTGCTCGCGCGCCGCTCCCACGCTTGACCACACACTCGCTGCACTGCTCAAAGCCAACCCTACCTCACTGGCCGCCTCCAACACTGTCCCGCGCGTCTCGCGCCCCAACTGACAACTCATCATTGTCCCTCGGACACCACTCTCCAGCCGCGCTACCTTCGCCCACCTACCGCTCTCGCATCGATGACATCTCGACAATCCTCATATCTCCAGGCCCAAGACTCCTAACCACTGCCCCTGCTCGCCCAGGACCACGAAGCGCCGCCCGCGCGCCCATTGACCCCCCAATCAGCCCTCCTGCTGTCCCTCAATCGCCACCCGCCAGATGTACTGCCCTCGCCCACCCAATACTCTCACCCTCCTGACCCGGACAGTCCAGGTACAGGAAAAGCGGGGAGCGGGGCCCGATCCAAGGAGCACCCCGTCGGCCCGGGAGGGCTGTGAATTTCGGCGCGGGCGGAAGGCTGCCTGCAGACGCTCAGCCGGCGGCTGAGCTGCCGAATCCTCCCGGCTAATCCCCTGACCTGCCGCCTGAAACGGGACAACATTACACCACCTCACACACACTCCCCCCTCAGGGCTAAGCAGTGCGCAAGTCCACCCGAACTCTAGGCGAGGCATCGACCGCTCCTTTGGAAATGTGCCGTCAGTGGCTGCACTAGACGCCCATTATGGCGCGCGGCGCGGGCGGATGACTAGGGGAGAGAATGCGGAGAGACTAGCTCGCAGGTAGATGTGCTCAGCCAAGGGTAAGGGATGAGGGGAATGTGTCAGTGTGAGGGGTGCACCAACCGCAGAGCGTTGTGTTTTGCCGTTGAAAACTGAACAGTTTTTTTGTGTATGTTCCGCAGTATCACCTAGTAGGTAGGTAGGTAGAAAGGTGAAGAACAGCCAGGCTCGGACTGGACACACCAACGCGGTATGGGTGGACGCTGGACAGATGATGACGACACGCACGAGCGACACACAGACACAAACAGGCTCACAAGACACACAGCCAGCTGGCTGCCACACACCCTGAGTCGGCGTACACATAACTCAGGGCCACATCCTCGCCGTCGCCCCCCCCAGCACTCCACGGTGCCAAGGGCACAAACAAGGGCACAACTCAAACAACAGACGACAGGAAGTGACATGTGAGGCTAGAGCAGCTTGCTCTACCTCTAGCAATCTCACCGGCCTGCGAGGCACGGACGAGACCGTATGTGGGGTCTAGTGAGGTGTCTATGGACCCTCTCCTCATGGGCTAGCTGATGTGTGTCTCGCGCCTTGCGGGGGGGGAGCGGAAAGGAGGAACCTCTTCCCAAGAGCACCACTCTTGGAGCGCCGCCACTACCACCCAGAGCGCTGCAAGCAGCGCCGGGCAATGACGGCCTACCGCCCACCCAGCCCCCCCTCGGCACACCCCGGCAGCCAATGTGTGACGGCTCGAACCCGCTAAGCCATCCCGCAAGCGGGATGGCCCGCCACTCGAACCCGCAAGCGGGTGTACGAACCGCGAGCGGCTCGCACTCGTGACACGCAGGCGTCCGACAGACGGCGCCGGGGCTAGGCGACCGAAGAGGAACTACGGCCGCACACCACCCGCTGACGAGCGATCACCTCGAGACCTCGAGACCACCGTCTGAGCACTCTGTCGCTCTCATCACGCCGAAGCACCCTCAGGCCGACTTGCCCCTTGCCGCCACACGCACACGAGAAGCCGGGTGCCGCGGAGCCGTTGGCTGCCGCCTCACCTCCCCATCGAACGTCGCAGCACGCTCTCGCGCCAGGCTGGCCCGATGCCGCGCCGCACCAGCGGCGGCCTGCAGCCCTCTGATTGCAGCGCATCTCGCCCTCCATCTTGCACCCAGCGCCGGTAACCGCCCTCCTCCTCGTTCGCAGAAATGGCCAAGCTCTCCTCGCTTCTCCTCCTCGTCGTCGCTGTGTCTGCGCAGGCCCTCATGCCAACCACACGCGCAGGCGGCACCGCCGCGGCGTCGCCCGTCGCCGCGTCGCCACGGCCGCGCACAACGCCGGTCGTTCTGGCGTCGAACCCAATCATGGAGTTCTTTGAGAGCCTGGTGCAGAAGTCCTCCACGCTGGGCAAGGACATCACGCTCGCCGAGGCGAAAGAGCTCTGCCGCGACCCAGAGTCGTCCGGCTGCAGGCGCGCCGCCGCACCGTCCCGCACCCACACACCGCAGTCCGGCGGCCTCCCACCCACACTCGCGTCCGGCCCGCCCGCAGCATCGACATGCTCGACATGATCGAGAGCGAGAAGGCGACGTATGGAGCCACCGCCGCCGAGGCTGCCGCCGAGAGGCCCTTGACGCGTCGGCGACACGTCCGAGACCCACCCTCGACGCTGTCCCTTAGGCCGCCGTCAAGTGGTCCGCCGCCATCGACGATGCCGTCGTCAAGACGGAGTGAGAAACAGGGCACCGCGGGGAGGGGGAGGCGCGTGCTGTTCGCCGCCACAAGGCGCCCATCCGATCCGCTCCCCCACCTGTTGCCCGGCAGCAGTGCGCGGCAGAATACGCCCGCATTGCACACAGCACGCACGCAGTCTCCCTGACAGTCGGCTGTCCGCAACACGAGCCGCATCGTCCTTTCGCGCATGTGTCCATGTACATGTCTGTGTTAGTGTTATCGGGGGCGACCCTCGCATCTCCACGCCCGGGACACGGGCAGGCTTAGGGTACCCCTAGGCTTAAAAAAAAAATTGCTAACGCGAAAAACCGGCACACCAATCTCCCTTCCTCTCCCTATCCTTTCTTGGAGCTCTAGAGTCCACACCCCCCTGCCCCGGGATCGCGTACAAGCTGAGGCTACCGTAGGCCACACTAGCGTCGCTGGGGGTTCCCTGCCCTCTAGATGGGAAGCTGGCCGCTGATCCGAAGAGGAAGACCGACTGCACCAGGGCGCCTAGATATACTCAAGGTGAGCGAGGGTGAAGTTACGCCTTAAATGCCTGTCTCTCTACTGTGGACCTTACTCCGAGCTCGACGGCTCCTCCTATTCCCCCACCCCCCCTCCCCCCCCACTCTCTCCTGCCGGATCGCTCCGGCAGGGGGCAGGGGTGGTGCGATCGGATGCGGCGCGCGTGCTCATTGCTAATAGCCTCGACGTCGCCGCCGAGACCATTGAGGCGGACTCCGCGGGCCGTGCGCTCGCCGACGCCCTTCGTGCGGTGGTGCATACGGCAGAGTCCGACTCAGCGCACGCAGCAGTTCAAACGGCGGTCCAGATGATCGAGCCTCCCGTGCGCCTGGGCACGACACTCGTGCGGGCTGCCGTCGAGAGCCAGACCGTGCATGCCGCCCTTAGCCTCGCGGAGCATCCTGTGGTGCAGGCGGTGCTTCATAGCGAGACAGTGGAATCGACCGAGCGGTGGACCAAGTGGGCGCTCCAGTGGATGGGCGCGAGCGAGAAGGTGCGAGGGCTCGGGGAGAGGACCAAACAGCTGGTGAGCGGAGCTGTGCAGAGCGACCTCGTCCAGTCCGCTGTCCTGGGCGGGGTGAGCCTCTGCTCGCGCGTCATCGCCAGCGACACGGCCAAGAGCCTCGCCGCATCTAGGGTACGATACTTCCGGGCCGGTGTGCGGGGAGCGAACCTTAACGACCGTGGTCCGCAGTCCGGGCGTGGAGATGCGAGGGTCGCCCCCCCTTGCCCCACCACTTTGTGTGTGTGGAGACGTTTACCTTACCTTACCTTACTCAGGAGCCCCACGGAAAAGTGCCTCAGCTCAGTCGAGCGGTACGTGGCTGGGTTCACAGCGATTGTAGGAAAACGAAGGGACCAAATCACGGTCGCGGCCTTCCGACTCGCGCCTCCGCCTCACTGGCACTATTGTAGCCCTGGCCGGTGCGCGTGCGGAGTTGAAGTTCCGGAGTGAAAATTCGAACGCGTTCTCTCACGGTGACCAAAAAATGTCCACCTCAGAGGCACCTCCGGAGGCAGGCCGCCGCACGCCGGCGACACAGCTCCAGCTGTCGAGCTGACCCTCAGCTCCTCTCAGAGCGGGAACTGTGACAAAAGTTGACTGAGGCGGTTGTCAGGAATCATCATACGGATCACATGGTGGCTCTCTCATGACGGGAGACCGCCCGACCACTCCTGGGTGGCACTGCCACCGGTGTCGCTCGACGTCCTGTCGACAGCGTGCCGACAGCGACACAGATCATGTGGGACGCGTCGAGTATCGACCTCTACTGCTTACCCAGCCTTCGAGTGTATCCTGGCTGTGGTCCCACACCCACTGGTGTCCATCTCAGAGACCGCAGGAGGTCATGAGGGTCGATGGGAGTGCCAACCCCACAATGCCTAAAAACCCAGCCCAGTACGATCCGGCGCTGGATGCGTGGGAGGCAGTGGCGCCGATGGCGGAGGGGCGGAGAGATCACGCCGCGGCGGTGCTCGGCGGCAAGCTGTACGCCGTAGGCGGGTCCTGGGTCAGCTCGGTGGAGCGGTACGACCCGGCAGTGGGCGCGTGGGAGGCGGTGGTTCCGATGGCGAAAGAGCGGATGAAGTTGTGTGCGTGCTAGCCGCGTGGAGTGTGCTGAAGTCCCTCGCCTGAGTGTGTGCTGCGCGTGCGTGCCCCCGCCGCTTTTCGCCCTTGGAGCACGCTTGGAGTGCGGTGAGTAACCTCAAAATCGCCTCGCTCGCGCCAGCACTTGTGGGTGCCGCAATTCTTTTTCTCCGCCGTGGTGTGCCGGTGAGGATAGTACTAGCACGCGCCAGTTCGCACCTGTGTCGAGCCTGTGTGCTAAATAAATAAATAAATAAACCGGACATCCCAAGCTAGGGCTGGGTCGAGGACAGACACGTCCCCACCTTTGCAGGATTTTGCAAAAGCGAGGGGGGAGGGCGCATCGCGGCGCGGAGAGGGCTGGGCACGGGCACAGGGGATCTCTCTCGCATAGGATACGCACTCGGCGGCACGAGGGCAAGGCTAGGCGTCCTATTTGTGCTCCCTCCGTTTCCCTCGCTCTCAGGCACTATTCATCTGACCACTCATCAGAGGGGCTTCTAGGCGATCGGCCGCGCTCCGGGGCAGGGCTGGGTAGGATGGGCTCGGGCCACTCGCCCGTGCGGGTGTATCCCCGCATGAGCCGGATGGAGGCCTCGACTGTCCCTCGCGGCAGGCTCTCGAGCAGCTCGAGCAGCTCTCCCGCCGCCACCGCCGCGTCGTACTGCTCCTTCAGGCCGAGCGCGCCGCAGACCCTGCGGACCGCCTCCTGCTGCACCTCGTCCGGTAGATCGGTGTCATAGCCGGAGGAGTCGGCGGAGGACGCCCGCTTGGCGGGCGGCGAGTCCGGTGAGGGAGAGCGCGACTGGCGCGAGGGCCCGCCGCCGCGCGCCGACAGCGCGTTCTTGTCGACGAGCCGGGGTCCAGCACTGGCGCGGCCGCTGGCACTGCGGCCCTTGCCGCGCTGCTGCTGCCCGCGCTTCCTTCCCGGATTAGGGACAGTGAAAGTGCAGCCGCGCACTCCGCCGCCGCTGGGCGGCGGCGGCACGCGCGCGGCGGCGGCCGGGCCCGCAGGCGCGGCGGGCTGGCCTCCCGCGGTGGCACCCTGCGGGTGCAATGCGGCTGCGGCGGCGTACGTCATGCTGGTCGCCGGCTCCGCAGCTGGCGGCTCGGCGGCAGGGGCTGGCGGCGCCGCAGGGCTCGCACTCGCAGGCGGCTCCGTGGCCTGCGCCTGCCGCTCATGGCGGACCGCGCGCTCGAGCTGTGAGTGCGGGTGGAGCTGCACAATGACGTCGCCGCTCTGCGTCGCGGTGAAGGAGACCGAGTACGGCGCGTCGCCGTCGTTCTTCTTCTCCGCGTAGACGAGCGCGTAGTCGCACACCTGTCGTTGGTGGTCAGTGAATATGCTCCGTGCAGCGCTCGGCGCCGCCGACGCGAGCAAATGGTCCCGTTTGAAATTAAAAGCATAACTTGTCAAATGGCCGGTCCAGCCTGTGTAGAAAGAAAGAAAGAAAACACACAACCCAAGGGAGGGATGGGAGAACGGCACGCCGCCACCACACAGGGATTTTAAGGAGAGGAGTGTGGTGCGCTAGCCGTGCGCGGTTTAAATTCTTTTTCTCGGTAAGGGAAATGTCGACCCCGTCGTGCCGCCGCTCACGCCGCTCGCGCCGCCTCGCCGCCCCCGCGGCCACCGCCGTGCCCTCGCCAATCACGCCGCCGCCCACCCGCCTCCTCGACCTCCCCACGGAGCTCCTCGAGCGCGCCCTCTCTCGCTGCGAAAGCCCCGTCGACATCGCTCGCGTCGCGGCCGTCTCGCTGCTCTTCCACGCCTCGCTTGTGGTGCAGGCCATCCGCTTGTGGGCGCAAGAGCGCGGCTTCGAGCTGCCGGCGCAGCCAGAGGACGAGGGCTGCGCCGTGCGGTGGCTGTGCTTCGCTGCGCTGCTGTGCGAGTCCAACCCGCCGGCGAGGGCGGCGGCAGGCCTGTCTCACAGCGTCTTCATCGACGGCGAGGGGCGCCTCTCGTCGTGCGGGTCAGCGGCAATGGAGGGCGAGGAGGAGGAGGAGCAGGAGCAGGAGCAGGAGCAGGAGGAGGAGGAGTTTCCAGGCCTTCTCGGCCACGGCGAGGGCGTGACGCGGCTCAACACGCCGACCCGCCTCCCGTCGACGCTGGGCGGCGAGCGCGCCGTGAGTGTTTCGGCTGCAACCGGCTACAGCCTCGTGCTGACCGCCGGGGGCAGTGTCTGGAGCTGGGGCGATGGAGACTCAGCCCGGTTGGGCCACGGCGACGAGCAGCCCCAGTGGCAGCCCCAGAAGATCGAGGCTTTTGCTGGTCAGCGCGTCGTCTCTGTGTCTGCAGGAGGCGCCCACAGCCTCGCCCTCACCGCCGACGGCGCTGTCTTTTCCTGGGGCAACGGAGCTGTCTGGAGCTGGGGCGAAGGAACCTTTCGCCGGTTGGGCCACGGCAACCCGGACGAGCAGCTGCTGCCCAAGCAGGTCGAGGCCTTGGCTGGGCGGCGCGTCGTCGCTGTGTCGGCTGGAGGGGCGCACATCATCGCCATCACTGCCGACGGCGCTCTCTGGAGCTGGGGCCTTGGCGAAGATGGCCAGTTGGGCCACGGCGACCAGCAGAGCCAGCTGCTGCCCAAGAAGATCGAGGCGTTGGCTGGGCGGCGCGTCATCGCTGTCTCGGCTGGAGATGGCCACAACATCGCCCTCACCGCCGACGGCGCTATCTGGAGCTGGGGCTTTGGATGGCATGGCCAGCTGGGCCACGGCGACCTGCAGCACCTGCTGCTGCCCAAGAAGGTCGAGGTGTTTGCGGGGCGGCGCGTCGTCGCTGTGTCGGCTGGACTATTCCACAGCCTCGCCCTCACCGCCGACGGAGGTGTCTGGAGCTGGGGCTATGGAGGGCAAGGCCGGCTGGGCCACGGCGACGGGCAGATGCAACTGCTGCCGAAGAAGGTCGAGGCCTTGGCTGGCCAGCGCGTCGTCGCTTTGTCGGCTGGACACAGCCACAGCCTCGCAATCACTGCCGACGGCGCCGTCTTTACCTGCGGCACGGGTGAACGCGGCTGCCTAGGCCACGGAGAGGACGTGTCGAACCAGCTGCTGCCCAAGAAGGTCGAGGCGTGGCCGCCTAGCACGCCCGCATCCGCTTGACTACAAATGGGCGGTTCGCGGTTCGGCCGGCTAAACGCTTCTCCACACACGGACCGCGGCGTGTAAAGGGAAATGCGGTCCGCAGGTGTTATGATGCGAGATGGCTACACAACGAACGATAAACCTAATACGCGCGCGGCCACAACCCGCACACTACTCCCACCGTTTTCCCTCCCCGCAGCCGCACACGTTCACCCTCCCCACGAGTTTCGCCGCGCGACGTGCATTATGCTCGCGGTGATGGTCCTGCTCAGCTGCACGACCGTCATGCGACGACTCCGCCGCCGCCGCGCCCGCCTCGCCGTCGGCGTCGGCGCTGGCCAACGCGCTGCCCGCCTCGCTGACGAGCGACAAGTAGCCGTATCGCCCCACCGCGTCGCACCGCTCGTCCGACGCGGCGATGAGCCGCTCGTGGAGGCCCAGTGCGCCGTAGAGCTGTCAAACGTTAAGAGCTGAACAGTGTTGCTAGTGTTAACAGTAACAACAGAACAACAGTTGGGCTCCCCAACAACAGTAGCTAACGTTAGGCCGACTGAACAACAGTAAGGAAGGCCTGGCAGTAACCCACGACGATCTCTAGCGTCCAGTGCGGGTAATACCCGAAAATACCCGGAAAAACCCAGGTATTTTCGGGTTTTACCCGGATTTTTTGGCATTTTCTGCTTGCTGGCCGCTGAACAACAGTAACAACAGTAACAAACAGTAACAGCTTGGGCTGGGGAGAACACTTGAACAACGTTGAGGATTTCAGCCAACAATAGTGCAACTGTTAGGCCCAAAGTTAACGTTTGACAGCTCTAAGTGCGCGATGTATGCAGAATGCGCGCGTGTGCGGGCTGCGGCGCGGTGTGTGTATCGTTTTGCAGTATTTTCGAATGCTGTTCGCGCTTTATGGTTTGATATTGGTTGAGTCCGAATGTATGTATGTACGTAGGAAGATGAAGAACAGTCAGTCAGGCTTGAACTGCACACCAACGCGGTATGCGTATGGGTGGAGGCGAGACAGACAGATATGACGACGACACGCTCGAGCGACAAACACACACATACAAGCTCACATCCGAATCTAAAAGAAAGAAAACAGACAAAACAAGGGAGGGATGGGAGGACGGCACGCCACCACCACACAGGGAATTTAAGTAGAGGAGTGTGGTGCTAGCCGTCGCCCACCCTACCTAACTAACCCTTGGGCGTCTGCCTCTTCCCATCTCTCTCTCTCTCTCTCTCTCTCGACGCTGACTTGGCTCACGGGACCCACAAAGCAGCTATCGCGCAGCGCCCGTCGCTACACGTAGACAGTGAACACTGGATACGTCCAACGGCGTCCATCTTGGTAAAATTCGGTCCAGCTGATTAACCCTGGTACGTGGA